AACTAAGGCAGAAGAGCAAATAAGTGAGCTGGAAGATAGAATGGTGCAAATAACTGCTGAGGAGCAGAATAAAGAAAAAAGAATGAAAAGAATTCAGAGACCTCTGGGACAATATTAAACACACCAACATTCGAATTATAGGGGTCCCAGAAGAAGAAGAGAAAGAGTAAGGGTCTGAGAAAATATTTGAAGAGATTATAGTCAAAAACGTCCCTAACATGGGCAAGGAAATAGCCACCCAAGTCCAGGAAGCACAGTCCCATACAGTATAAAGCCAAGGAGAAACATACCAAGACACATATTAATCAAACTAACAAATATTAAATTCAAAGAAAAAATATTAAAAACAGCAAGGAAAAAGCAACAAATAACATACAAGGGAATCCCCATAAAGTTATCAGCTGATTTTTCACTAGAAAAATCACTCTCTGCAGGCCAGAAGAGAGTGGCAGGATATATTTAAACTGATGAAAGGGAAAAACTTACAGCCAAGCTTACTCTACCCAGCAAGGATCTCATTCAGATTCAATGGAGAAATCAAAAGCTTTACAGACAAGCAAAAGCTGAGAGAATTCAGCACCACCAAACCAGCTTTACAACAAACGCTAAAGGAACTTCTCTAGGTGGGAAACACAAAAGAAGAAGAAAACATACAAAAACAAACGCAAATCAATTAAGAAAATGGTAATAGGAACATACATATCGATAATCGCCTTGAATATAAATGGATTAAATGCTCCAACCAAAAGACACAGACTGGCTGAATGGATAAAGAAACAAGACCCTTATATATGCTGTCTACAAGAGACCCATTTCAGACCTAGGGACACATACAGACTGAAAGTGAGGGGATGGAAAAAGATATTCCATTCAAATGGAAATCAAAAGAAAGCTGGAGGACTTCCCTGGTGGCGCAGTGGTTGAGAGTCCGCCTGCCGTTGCAGGAGACACGGGTTCGTGCCCCGGTCCGGGAAGATCCCACATGCCGTGGAGTGGCTGGGCCCATGAGCCATGGCTGCTGAGCCTGTGTGTCCGGAGCCTGTGCTCCGCAACGGGAGAGGCCACAACAGTGAGAGGCCCGCGTACCGCAAAAACAAAAACAAACAAACAAAAAGCTGGAGTACCAATACTCATATCAGATAAAATATAAAGACTGTTATAAGGGACAAGGAAAGATATTACATAATGACTAAAGGATCAATCCAAGAAGAAGACATAACAATTGTAAATATATAAGCACCCAGCATAGTTGCACCTCTATACATAAGGCAAATGCTAACAACCATAGAAGGGGAAATCGACAGTAACAATAATAGTGGGGAACTTTAACACCCCACTTACACCAATGGATAGATCATGTAGACAGAAAATAAGTAAGGAAACACAAGCCTTAAATGACACATTAGACCAGATAGACTTAATTGTTATTTATAGGACATTCCATCTGAAAGCAGCAGAATACACTTTCTTCTCAAGTGCACACAGAACGTCCTCCAGGGTCGATCACATCTTGGATCACACATCAAGACTCAGTAAATTTAAGAAAATTGAAGACATATCAAGCATCTTTTCTGACAGCAACACTATGAGATTAGAAATTAATTACAGGAAAAGAACTGTAAAAAACACAAACACATGGAGGATAAACAATATGTTACTAAATAATGGATCACTGAAGAAATGAAAGAAGAAATGTAAAAATAGCTAGAAACAAATGACAACGAAAACATGTTGACCCAAAACCTAAGGGATGCAGCAAAAGCAGTTCTAAGGGAGAAGTTTATAGCAATACAATCCTACCTCAAGAAAGAAGAAAAATCTCAAATAAACAATCTAACTGCACACCTAAAGCAACTAGACAAAGAAGAACAAAGAAAACCCGAAGTTAGTAGAAGGAAAGAAATCATAAAGTTCAGAGCAGAAATAAATGAAATAGAAATGAAGAAAAGAATAGCAAAGGTCAATAAAACAAAAAGTTGGTTCTTTGAGAAGATAAACAAAATTGATAAACCTTTAGCCAGACTAATCAAGAAAAAAAAGAGAGGACTCAAATCAATAAAATTAGAAATGAAAAAGGAGAAATTACAACTGACACCACAGAAATACAAAGGATCATAGGAGACTACTACAAGCAACTATATGCCAATAAAATGGACAACCTGGAAGAAACAGACAAATTCTTGGAAAGGTACAACTTTCCAAGATTGAACCAGGAAGAAGTAGAAAACTTAAACAGACCAATTACAAGTAATGAAATTGGAACTGTAATTAAAAATCTTCCAACAAACAGAAGTCCAGGACCAGATGGCTTCACAGGTGAATTCTATCAAACATATAGAGAAGCATTAACACCTACCCTTCTCAAACTCTTCCAAAAAATTGCAGAGGGAGGAACATTCCCAAACTCATTCTACGAGGCCACCATCACCCTGATACCAAAATCAGACAAAGATATCACACACAAAAAAGAAAATTACAGACCAATAGCACTGATGAACATAGACACAAAAATCCTCAACAGAATACTAGCAAACAGAATCCAACAACACATCAGAAAGATTATACACCCTGATCCAGTGGGATTTATCCCAGGGTTGCAAGGATTCTTCAACATATGCAAATCAGTCAATGTGATACAGCATATTAACAAATTAAAGAATAAAAACCATATGATCATCTCAATAGATGCAGATCTCAATAGATGCAGAAAAAGCGTTTGACAAAATTCAATACCCATTTATGATAAAAACTCTCCAGAAATTGGGCATAGATGGAACCTACAAGGCCATATATGACAAACCCACAGCAAACATCATTCTCAATGGTGGAAAATCCAAAAGCATTTCTTCTAAGATCAGGAACAAAACAAGGATGTCCACTATCACCACTGTTATTCAACAAAGTATTGGAAGTCCTAGCCATGGCTATCAGAGAAGAAAAAGAAATAAAAGTAGTACAAATTGGAAAAGAAGAAGAAAAACTGTTACTGTTTGCAGATGACATGATACTATATATAGAAAATCCTATAGATGCCACCAGAAAACTACTAGAACTAATCAATGAATTTGGTAAGGTTGCAGGGTAAAAAATTAATGCACAGAAATCTCTTGCATTCCTATACACTAACAATGAAAGATCAGAAAGAGAAATTAAGGAAACAGTGCCATTTACCATCACCACAAAGAGAATAAAATACCTAGGAATAAACCTACCTAAGGAGGCAAAAGACCTGTATGCAAAAAACTATAAGACACTGATGAAACAAATCAAAGACGACACAAACAGATGGAGAGATATACCTTGTTCTTGGATTGGAAGAATCAATATTGTGAAAATGACTATACTACCCAAAGCAATCTACAGATTCAGATTCAGTGCAATCCCTATCAAATTACCAATGACGTTTTTCACAGAATTAGAACAAAAAATTTCACAATTTTTATGGAAACACAAAAGACCCCGAATAGCCAAAGCAATCTTGAGAAAGTAAAACAGAGCTGGAGGAATCAGGCTCCCTGACTTCAGACTATACTACAAAGCTATAGTAATCAAGACAGTATGGTACTGGCACAAAAACAGAAATACAGATCGGTGGAACAGGATAAAAAGCCCAGAGATAAACCCATGCACATATGGTCACCTAATCTATGACAAAGGAGGCAGGAATATACAATGGAGAAAAGACAGTCTCTTCAATAGTTGGTGCTGGGCAAACTGAGCAGCTACATGTAAAAGAATGAAATTAGAGCACTCCTTAACACCATGCACAAAAATAAACTCAAAATGGATTAAATACCTAAATGTAAGGCCAGACACTGTAGAACTCTTAGAGGAAAAAAGGAAAAACTCTCTATGACGTAAATCACAGCAAGATCTTTTTTTTTTGATGATTTTTAAATTTTGCATTCCATATATTATCCAGTCTCACATGCTCACAGGATCAGCAATTACAATAGCCACCTTGTCTCCCAGGTCTGAAAATGGCAAGACAGCCACAGCTGCAGCCAAAGGCAATGCACTGATGTGCTCACGAAACAAAAAATTGCACAATTTTCCTTCATTTTTCTTAAACTAATGGCTGACGCTAAGGCTCACTGCTGGAGAACGGAAACCCTTTTCTTCTTCATGCCTCAAGCTAAAATGTTAAACTTATCGGACAGGGCGGACAAGGTCTCTTCAATAATTAATTGCACACACACACGAAAAATCCTTTATGTTGCATAAATATTTTGTTACACAGGGTACAAAAATACTTTCACTTTTTGGTTGGTTTTGAAGTTTGGAAATAATGAGGAGCCATGGCGAGGGTGGGGTGCGCCGTGGAGAGGTAAGCGAAATTGGGCAGAGAAAGGGTTTTCCTAATGGCTGTTGGCCCATCTGAGAGGGAGGAAGCAGAGGACCCCGATTTGAAATGACCAAGAAAACGCTGTCTTGGCTGGTTGGTCCTTCCTGTTCAGCCTGGAAGTGTGTGGATGATGGAGGGCACCAGCCGCCGGGTGGAACTGGCTGCAAGGCTTGATCCTCGCTGAAGCAGGGTGGGTGCAGGAGAGGGGGTGAGGGGAGAGGGGCAGGGAATGATGAACCATTAGTGGGCAGGACTTGTTGCTATGGTGACAAAATGTGAGAACAAACTGTACACACATATATACCAGTTTAAGTGTCTTAATTCATGCCAGGAAAACATGCAAAATTAAACGCCTCATTTCTTTGAGGCGGGGCTATGGAAACAAATTTGGACTGAGGGTCAGGCCTTGCTGAGTCCCAATGAGACCTCCGAGCTGGGTCTGGGTGTCCTGGTGAGAAGGCCCCTGAATCCTGCCGTGAGGCCTTGGAGAGGGGCTTTGGGGCAGGACAGGGCTGAGGAAAAGGAGAGAAAGGAAACAAAACAGTCCACTGAGTCGGGCTTAAAACTCAGTCTTTGGAGGGAAGCAGCAGCTCTGCACGGGCCGCCTGGGGGCAGTGGAAGCTCAGGGTGGCTTCCTCCCCACTGGGGTGGGGGCTTCGAGCTGTGGTGACCAGACTGAAGAACTAACAGAACTGACGATATTTCAATTCTTGCTGGGTGGTATCGGAGGAAGGGTACCAGTGCACCTGAGCATGTAGGGCGGCAGCGGCAGCAGCAGTGGTGGCTGGGTAGGTACACGTAGCATGTGAGATGGCTGGGGTCATCTCTGTGGTGTACAGAGGGTAGGGGGCCCAGGCATCTAGGGATGCGGGAATCAGAGTGGCCCCCATCAGGTCATAGGGGTATTGTGCGATGAAGTGTGCTCCTAGGGCAGGGTGAGCATTGGTGGGATTTGGTGTAGCCATTAGCTTGTTCTTGGCCATCTTGGTGTTGGCTTTGGCAAACTCTCGCCTCAGGGTCTGTGGGTTCTCGGGGTCAAAGCGAATACCATTCAATGCATTCTTGGCTGCTTCTGTTCCTGCCCGGCTGTCAAAGATCACAGAACCAACAGGCTGTCTCCATGTGAGCTTGACCAGGGACACTTCATACCCCTGAATGGCGTCCCTTGTGTGTGGATGAAACCACTCCAAGTGCAGTAACCCGCAACAGGGTGATGCCACTTGACAGCCTCTTGAAGAACTTGAGTGTTAAACATCTCACTCAGTCTGTACTAACATTGACCTAATAGGACTTCCAGAGTCAGAACAGAAAGGAAAGGAAAAAGTATGAATTCACTCTAGAAGAAATAGAAGTTCAAGTTCCGTACACGTATGCAAGAAATGCTCAATTTCATTTATAAATTTTTTTTAAACTAAAGGAAGGAGATAGAGTTTGAGGCCTATATATCTGGCAAAAATTAAAAGATTTATAGCACTTGATGTCATCAAGGGTGAGAGAAAATGGCTATTATCATATGGTCTTGGTGAGGGTAAATTTGTATGGCCTTGTGGAATGGTAAAAATTGCATAAAAGTAGTACTTTATAATAAAGGAAAATTACAAGAGTCTAAATGTCAATGACTAGGGAGTAATGATAATGGCACAGTCTTAGGGAAAGTGGGATGAGAGCGATGAGTATGTAATGACAAGGAAATGCCTGTGATACGTGTGTATTCCCATTTCATTGCTTAGTTTATCTGGATTTATAGACAACTAGATAGATTGATAGATAATATATGTTCCACTTGGCTGATAAGTTACCTAGAGTACTGAGGACAAGTAAAAGCAGTCTTGCCCAAATTTCAACCAAATGTAAGTCCCAATCAGCTCGAATCCTGCAAGTCAGTTTCTTAATGATAACATAGGACAATTTGGGGGGTCATGGGCCACCCATCCTTCTACTCTTGGTCTTCCTTGAATAGGGAACAATTCACTGCGAGTCTGAGCTCTTTCCCACAGGAGGTGAGGTAACCAGGTTTGGTGGGGCCTGAATGTATACAATCTGACGGTCTCCTCATTCAAAAATTAAAATATCTTGTGCAAGTGTTTAAAATCATATGGCCATGTGAATCCACTGCCCTGGCACCTCCCAGGACCCGGGCAGAGACAGAGACCTGAGAGGCCCAGAGTTCAAGGGTGTGGCTGGAGCTCAGTCAAAGGGGAGCCCAGTCTGGGAGCATCCTCCAGGTGCGCAGTTAGGTGGCCAGCACTCAGCTGCGACACCCCTCCGTGGGGAAAGGGAGAGCTTGATCCCCACCCCAAGCCAGGTCAGGGTGGCTCTGTGGAGAACGCTTGAAGAGACTCTGGGGGTGTCTGCTTCCCAGTTGGAAGAGTCTGAAGGCAGGAGGCGTCCGGGGCAGACTGCGTGGCTCCTGGACGGTGGAGGCTGCAGTGGGCAGTAGTCTGCACTCTCGCTGCCTGGGGAATTCGAGTTCCCCGGGATGCTTGGCGGGCAATTGAGCATGTGCCATCTTGAAAGGCCCACAACCAGGGGCCTTTCAGGCCGGACGAGGAGACCTTGAGAAAGAGGCGGGGTATTGTGCTGGGCAAGCGGGAAACAGGACGAAGATGGAAGGGGCCAGCCAGAGAGCGCCAGGAAATAATACAGGGCAGAGGCCCCTACTGGGCATCTCTGCAGAGTTTACTAAGATGCCCCAGAAGAGCCAGCGTCTGGAGGTCTGCCTGACAGAGGGCAACACGCTGCTGCAGAGAGAACTGTAAACAGCACCGTCTGGATGAAGAGGACTTTGCCTTTTTCCTCTAACCCGTCTCCTCCTTCCTTGTCCCGCCTCCACTTAGGAGAGCATGAGTGAGGGGAGGAGAAATGTGAGGCCAGCAGGAGTATTAGTGAAGGTGCCGCCCCACTGCGGGTTCCGCAGCCCAGCTTCGGGCCGAAGAGCAGGAGAGGCTCGCGGCTGGAGGCGAGGCTGAAGCTTTTACGTTATACTGGACTGGACTAACAGTGTCTGGAAATGTGGCCGTTCTCACGGCCAAGAGTGAGCTGAAAAGCAGGGAAATGAGTCGTCACTGATGAGCAGAGCAAAGGGAGGTCACAGAGAGTTGGTTTAAAGGCAGTGGTGAGAAAAATAGAGTTTCCTGATTGTACCCTCATTCTGTTCAGCCCACTAAGTCAGTCAGTTACACAGAATATAGTGCTCATTCGATTAAAAAAAAATCTTGTAAGACTGGTTATGATGGAGGATGCGCCCACTTTATCATAGTAACATTGCACTAAGACATGGTGATTCGTAACAGAACTTGCAGCTCACGATCATGACACATGGTCCCCTCAACTCACATTCATAGTCTGGACCACCGTCAACAAAATATTTACAAAGTTCCCTTTCATTCATTCCCTTGATTCCTATCTTTCCATCTTTTCCTAAGAAAGGCAACCAGAATTTATAATCATAATTGACACTGATTTCTTTATGGTTTGCTTTCAGCTGAATGACATGGGTGAGACTGAGGGTCTCTAGGGCAACAGAAACGTGTGATTGCAGGCTCTGGTGCTGGCCAAAACTTCAGGAGAACAGTCCCAAATATTGTTACCAACATATATAATTTCCAAATATCTATAAACATTTAAAACGCAGGAATAGATTCTGCCTTCCTTTTAGCAGAGTTTACATAAACTTCCCCATTTAGTAACAATGTGCCTTGACTCTCTTAAAATTTTCTTACATTTTGCTTTTCATACCACTGTGAAATGATTTCAGCATCCACCCAAGTAGATGCCATTTTCTGAAGCTGATATATTTGTCCCCCTTCAGTGCCACCCCCAAAACATCTAAAGACATCACTGTTCCCTGCCAAGACACTTTCATCCAGCAAATAATCGTTTGCATAATTTTTAAGAGCCAGTCTGGACATTAGAGATATAATAGCAACAAGACAAAGTTCTTGCTTTTATGGAACTTCCATTATAGTGGACAGTTAATCACGATAAATTGAGAGATAATAGTAGTCAGTACTCTCCAGAGAAACAGAACCAATATGACAGATAGGTAGATAGATAAATAATTAGGAATTGGCTTATGGAATTATGGAGGCTGGCAGCTCCAAAATTTGCAGAGCCGATGTCCCAGTTTGAGTCTGAAGACCAGTAGGTTGCTGTAGAACCAGGAAGAGCTTATGTTCCAGTTTGGAGGTCATCAGGCAGGAGAATTCTCTCTTATGTAAAGAAGGATCAACTTTATTAGCATCTTCAACTGATTGAATGAGGCCCACCCATGTTATAAAGAGCAATCTGCTTTATTTAATCTACCAATTTAAATGTTAGTCTCATCCAAAAATTCCCCCACAGAAACACCCAGAATAATGTGTGACCAAATATCTGAGCACCTCATGACCCAGTCAAATTGACACATAAAATTAAGCATCACAAGAGATAAAAAGTTGAAAAATAAAATGTTTCATGACTCTTAGGCTACAGAGAAATTAAAGCTGTGACCTTCTCACATGGTGATATGAGAAAAAGTGACCGGGGAAGGGAAGAGATTAAAATAGGTATGTGTTTAAGTTACAGTACTGTTCCAGACTTTAAATACATTAGCATTCAAATGCCATCCTGTGGCTGATGATTCACGTCAGGTTTTATTTGTTTCGTGTCATTCATCTCACATCTGTTAAAATCTGTTGGACTGTCTGTTGGAGTCAATGGAGTTGCTGTCTTAAGCCCCCAGGGTTTTTGCTCATATTTCACATGTATTAGTAGTAGTAATTCCATGCTCGATGGGTTCAGGGTACAGCCATGCCAGCTTTACTCCAGGATCAAATGCCGTCTTTGGTTATAATGGATTTAATTCAAGCACACTATAAAATAAAATATTCATGGTCAGTGTACATAAGGATGCCATAACAGAAATATTTACACACTTAAACTGACATACAGAATCACTTTACAACCCTTATGTTTAGTGCAACAATAACATCATTACACAGAATAAACAGGACTGAATCATTTCCCAAATTCTGGGCCTCCGTAAATAGCAGTCTGCATTCTTGGCCCAGTGTTATAATCTTTGCTTTGTAACTTTATGCAATCTAATAAAAGACTTATGATAAAAATGGTCTTGGGCATGGCCCATAACCCATGATTTGTCTTTAAGACACATTGTCATTATTGTGTAGGCCAAATCTTTACATTCTTTTCACACCCAACTACCCCCCACCACCTGCATTGTTCAGAAGGCCCACTAAAGTCAAGAGAATTAATTGCTAGCTTTCTCTTTAATATATAAATGTATCAAATCAACACTTTGTACACCTTACACTTACACAATACTATATGTCAATTAAATCTCAAAAATAAATTTTTTAAATTCTATAAATTAAAAAGTTTATTAAATAACGAAATTACACTAAAGATTATGTATAAAATAAGTAAAAAGTACATACAAGTCCAACAATTTAAATGCCTATGTATATTAGTTTCCTATTGCTCTGTAGCACATTACCACAAGAAACATCCTTTTACTAGCTCCCAGTTCTGTATGGAAGTCCAGCATGGTGGGACAGGGTTCTCTGCTGAGGGTATCACAGGATGAGGTCAAGGTCATGGCTGGGCTGAATTCTCATTGGCAGCTCTGGGGAAGAATCAGCTTCCAAGCTCATCCTTGTTGGCAGAATTGTGTTCCTTGCAGCTGTAGGGTTTAAGTCCTCACTTCTTTAACGTGTGGCCCCTCTATCTTCAGGACAACAGTGGCATGTCAGTCAAATCCTTCTCATGCTTTGAATCTCTTACTTCCTGCTCTGCATCTAGCTGGAGAAAATGCTTTGCTTTTAAAGAGTTTAAGTGATCAGGTTTGACCCCCCAGACACCCTCCCTTTGGATGAAGTCAAAATCAACTGATTAGTAACCTTAACTATGTCTGTAAAATCCCTTCTGCAATATTCAGTGACATAATCACAGGTGTAACACTAGGGACAGAGATCACTGGGGCCATCTTAGAGTCATTCTTACCACACCTTGTAGCCAGCACCCAGGTAAAAAGGTGGAAACACTGTCAGTCCTCTGTGAGTGCCTCCCTGATCTTAACCCTTTCCTACAATCCTGAATTCTGGTTCTAGCCTCCCCTTGCTTTTCTTTCCCCCTCATCACATTTGCATGTGACATGAAGCAGTAGCATTCAATAATAAGTACATAACTGCAAACTAGATCTAGATGAAATAACATGAAACTAACCTCTTGAGTTTTGCATCTATATGGATGCAAGCAGGTGTAGTTCATAAGTGTCTATTACTGATTATAAGAATAGACCACAATTACTATTATTATTTTTTTTTGCAGTACGCAGGCCTCTCACTGTTGTGGCCTCTCCTGTTGCGGAGCACAGGCTCCGGACGCGCAGGCTCAGCGGCCATGGCTCACAGGCCCACCTTGGATCATTTTCCTTTTCCCTGAAAAACATCTATTAGAATTTCTTACAGTGGGGGCCCCTCTATTTTTACCCAACAATCTTATGTCAGTTTGACTGAAAAGGCTTTATTGACCCTTATTCTTGAAAGATAATTTTTGTAGGTACACAACTCTGGTTGACAGTTTCTTTCTCTTATCACATTAAATATATTTTACCACAGTCTCTGGATTTCCACGTAGCTATTAGGAAGTAGGAAGTCAACTGACAGTTGAGTTGCATTCATTGGTGGTTAATATGTTACTTCTCTCTGCCTACAGTTACCAAGACAGTGGTACTGGAATAAAGATAGACAAATCACTAGAACAGATTAAAGAGTCCAGAAATAAATCCACACAAATACAGACAACCAATTTTCAATAAAGATGCAGACGCAATTTAGTGGTAAAGGATGATCTTTTCAACAAATTGTGCCAGAACAATTGGATACCCACGTGCTAAAAAAAACAACAAAAAACATTTTCACCCATACCTTGCACAATATACAAAAATTAACTCAAAGTGGACCAGAGATCTAAATGGAAAGCCTAAAGTTACAAAACTTTTAGAAAAACTATAGGAGGAAATGTATATGGCCTTAGGTTAGGCAAAGATTTCTTAAATATGATACCAAAAGTACAATCTGCATAAGTACAAATTGATAAATGGGGTTTCAGCAAAATTGAAAACAACTTCTCTTCAAAATACACTCTTAGCATAAAAACACATGCTACAGATTGGGAGAAAATATTTACAGATTATATATCTGATAAAAGACTTGTACCTAGAATATATAAAGAACTATCAAAACTCAATAATAAAAAAAAACCTTGACTATAAAAATGACATAAGACTTCAACAGACACTTCAACAAAGAAGATGGCAAATAGATACATGAAAAGATGCTCATTAGTTATTAGGGAAATGCCGATTAAAACTACAAGATACCATTACTCACCTACTAAAATGGTTAAAATTAAAAAGATGAATGGGTAAAGAAATTGTGCTAGATCCATGCAATGGAATACCATCTGCCAATAAAAAGGAATGGCCTATTGATACATGCAACATCATGAATGAAAGAAGCCAAAATTACATGGTATGATTACATGGATATAAAACTCTAGAAAATAGAAACAAATGTATTGGGACAAGAAGCAGATCCATGGTTGCTGAGGGTGATGGGGAGAATCAGAAGGGAAGGGTTACAATGGAGCCGGAGAAAACTGGGGAGTGCGACTGTGTTGGTTAGCTTGACTGTGGTTAGGGTTTCCTAGGTGTATAAATATATCAAAACTGATCAAATTGTTTACTTTATACACGTCCAGTTAAATGTATAACAATTTTACCTGAGTAAGGCATTCAAAAAACAATAGAAAGCAATTTACTGTGAATTTTATGAATTAAAAAATACCAAACAAATTATTTGCCAGCTGCCTGGGCACCTGCAAGTAGAGGCACATCACAGAAGAGAGTTGCCACAATTGTTTTGCTAGTCAAACTCAGGTGAACACAATTAAATAAATAAAAAGTTTCATGCATAGTCTTTTATTTATTTTACTTGTTTGCTTATGTATTTATCATAGTGTTATGAAGAGTCACAGTTGCCTGGCCAGCTGCAGAACTATAACTCTGATCATCACTTCTACCCATTTCTTTCCCTGGCCCTTAAACCCTGCCTCAAAATACCAACCACTCTGCATTTTCTATTTAGCATCCTCTTGATGTCTTAGAATACTTTAATCTAACATGACTAAAAAAAAAATTGTTTAGTTCTAAATGTCCTTTGAGCTTAAAAAAAAAGGGTGGGGGGCAGGTATTATGCTCATAGCAGCACTATTCACAATAGCCAAGAGGTGAAAGCAATCCAAGTGTCCACTGTCGGGAATGGATAAACAAAATGTGATATATACATATAGTGGAATATTATTCAGCCTTAAGAAAGAAGGAAATTCTAACACATGCTACAACATGGATGAAACTTGAGGTCATTATGTTAGGTGCAACAAGCCAGTCACAAAAATACAATTACTGTATCATTCCACTTGTGTGATGTATCAAATTCACATAAACAGAAAGTAAAAGGGTGGTTACCAGGGGCTGGGAGGAGGGGCACAAGGGGAGTTGTTATTTAATGGGTATAATTTCAGATTTGCAAGATGAAAAAGTTCTGGAGATCTGTTTCACAACAATATCAATATGCTTACTACTGAACTTTACACTTAAAAGTGGTTAAGATGGTAAATTTTATGTTATGGGTCTTTTACCATAAAATTAATGCAAAAAGGTTATCAGGCTAAATGTAGCCTTTTTTCCCGCTGAACACTACTAAACTATAATTCA